TGATGGCTCCCTGAGCCTTCTCCCAGACTGAAGGGGAGCCCTCACCTTGGAGTGCCTGCCCCACTCCTCTCTAACTCAGTGCCACCCACAGTGGCCTGGCCACTGCACCCTGAGGAAAGGGGCAGCTTCCGGTACTCTGCACGGAGGTCCTGCCTTCTGCCGTCCCTGGAGACTCTGTTCCTGTTCGCCAGCTATTTTGCTTCCTCGGCCATCTGTTCCCTCCCTGTCATCTCCTCTTTGCTTTAACCTTAACCACTACTTCACTGCAGATGGTACCAAACAGATCTGTTCTTGACATCCTTCATGATGCCTGCCCCCTCCTTCCCATTTCCAGCAAGTGAACTTCTGCTCTGTCCTTTTGCAGCCCAGACCCTAAAGACGTGGCCGAAGCTTAGAGTTGGATCTACCCCCACAAGCCTCCCTTCTGGGTCCCATCTGCTGTAGGTAAATACCACCTACCCCTCCTTCTGCTTTGCCTTTTCCTAATAAGACTTCCTTTTTTCAAACTTGGCCAAGAACATCTCCTGGAATCTCACCTCAAGTCCACTGCCTGCTCTGGTTATTTACCTGGGTGGCCATAAAACAAACAAAAATACCAGCTGCTGTCGATTCCAACTCATGGTGACCTCATGTGTGTCAGAGTAGAACTGTGCTCCATTGGGTTTTCAGTGGCTGATTTTCCAGAAGTAGATCGCCAGGCCTTTCTTCTGAGGTGCTTCTTGATGTACTCAAACCTCCAAGCTTTTGGTTAACAGTGAGGCCCTATAACTATTTGCACCACTCAGGGATTCCAGATCTCCATAAACAGCGCCTTTAACTCTCCAGAGGGCTTGGGGTTGGCGTGCTGAGGCAGACCCCAAACCCGATTCATTCCTGCAGTGGAGGGACCAGTGAGCCCACGCTGGGAGTTTGGGTCCTGAACAGCTTCCCTGTAGAAAACTACGGTGAGGAAGTGGCCCCATGTTGGCATGACAGGAACTGAACCAAAACTCATTTTCTACACTGTCTGAGCTAGCAAGGGAAACACTGCACTGCTTTCCTTGCTTTTATCCTGGCTGCTGGCGAAAAAATGCACGAGAAAATTCCTCTTCTTGCCTTCTCTTTTCTGGCCCAAGGACCGGGACCTTTAAGGATGGAAGAAACCCCAAAACCAAAACCAAACCCACTGCCGTCAAGCTGATTCCAATTCATGGTGACCTCATATGTTATGCAATAGGGCTACCCTGTAGGGTTTTCTTGGCTGTATCTTTATGGATGCAGACTGCCAGGCCTTTCTTCCAAAGCACCACTGGATGGGTTCAAACTGCCAACCTTTAGGTTGGCAGCCAAGAGCAAACCATTTATGCCACCCAGGGACCTAGTGGAAGAAACCCAGAAGCTCCTGTTTTTGTGAGATTGCGTCCATCAGGCTGCATTCCTTGACTGGGACAGAAGTAGACTGGGAAGACCGAAATTCCACTTGTGCACTTGGATTTGGGCTAAAAAGCCTCCAATCTCAGCCCTCTCAAGAAGGGCTCCTGTTCCAACAGCTCAGAATCCTGGTTGCCCCAGAGAAGGGCAGAGATGGAGCCTGCTCACACTTGGCTGCATGGAGACTCTCAGAACACCAAATCAACCAGCCACCCAACAACCTCACGGTCCCTCCCTCCCTCCTTCTGCCTTCCTTTCCCACAAAGGAGAAGACCCAATCCAGCCACCAGGCCGGCCCATCTGGCTATGGAAACCAAGAGAACAAAACACATCTTACTGGGGTTTCAGACCTTCATCTAGCTCTTGCTGAATTATTCAGGGATGGCATTAACTTATAAAGAGTGTGTTTGACTGATTTTGTGGTTGATGTACAGATAAACTCTAATGAAAGACAGCAACAAGATTTTAAATTATTAATTAGACTGCCACTTAACAAAGCCTATTTGGCACTCTATTTCCTTGCTTAACAAGACAAAAACTTTAAGGAAGGGTTCAGTATCAGCCCAGAGGCTGTTGATTTGCATTCTGTTTTTATAGCTCTAAAAATGAAAACCATAGATCCTGACCTTAAGCAGGCCACTTCTGGCAAAGCAGAAGCCCCAGCAGGCTGCCCTTCCTTCCTGGATGGTGCTGGGTGGCTCCGGGCCTCACTTGCCCTGCCTGCTTCTCAGCTCTGACCAGAGTCTTGCTTTTTATATCCCTGCTTCTGCCAGGGTAGGCCGGGAGATGGAGAAGCAGGCAGGGCAGCTGCTGAAGCCTTCAGCTATCAGCACTGTCAACAGCTTGAGTCCACTAGGGGGTTGGGGCTGTTCTGGTTCACAGCAGAGGGGCTGTGGCCAGTAGGGTCCATTCATCAGTAGACACAAGGCAGCACCTCCAGACTTTAATAGGACAACCAGAAATGAGAGACATGAACCTCGCAGCCCAAGGCCTACTCAACGCCTTCCTGCTCCTCCTGGGGGTCTCTTACCACTTAGACCGCTAACTCCACAGAGCACTCCATTGTTAAGACAGTGAGCTCTACCCCACTGTGCAGAAAAGTGAAGGGATTCTTCCTTCCCCTCCCCCCACAGAATGGCGGGGGGGCTACTCTTTCTTCATCCTTCAAACTCTGTTCTAAATCATCATTAAACTCCATCAGGTCCAGAACCCCATGCAGGGCTCTTCTCCTGATAGCAGGGAAATAGCAACAACTATCTCAGCCCAACCTACGGCTGTTTTTGCTTGGAGCTTCTGGAAACACTTCTAGAAGCAGAAACTTCAACAGCCACCTCCGTTGGCATTAGTCTCAGGCATACTTTGGGCTTTGGGTGCACACCTAGAATCCACAGAATCAGAGTGGTCTTTATGTCTTGTGCAGAAGGGACAGGTCCTCAGGATTGGGGCAGAGGGAATAAAAATTGATCAGAAAAGCACCAAAACAAAAGTTGCTTGCCCACACAATGTCTCAGTGCGGCCAAGGGCTTCTCTGCTCTGTTTCCCTGGGGTTAATCCAGGCGGAAACCTCTTTGTTGGAAGGGAAAAACAGCCTGAGGCAAACACACGTGACTGCCAAGCCTCCAGTGGCCACTTCTTGAGCAGGGTAAGTGAGCCTCCCCCGAGGAAGCGGCCCCCAGAATGCACTGGGCTCACCTCGAGCTGGGCCTCTGGCTGGTGAGGATGAGAAAGGAAGGCTCCTGGAGGCCATTCAAGCCTCCCTGGGCACCTAAACCATATACATAAAGTGCGTGGGCTGCTCCATGGCTTGTTTGTAACTGTAAACTGCCAAAAGACAAAAGACCAAGAGGGAAATGAGATGTCAGTGCCTCTCTGTTTTCTCCATCACAGACCTGCAGCCTACACATGGCGGCCTTTTAAAACTGCCAGGGAAGCCTTCCCCACTGGGGCAAGTTTCACGCTCCAGGCCCAGGCTACTGAGACCTAGGTCTGTGCTCAGCTCTGTCAGGAGCACCTCCTCTGTGTAGAGACTCTCCGACCAGCACCACTCTACTGCTGAAATGACTTTTCATCCCTTTCTGAAGGGAAAAGGCAACTGGGGTGTATCTGTGAAGAGCTTTCTCCAATCAGCCACAGTGAAAGGCAGCCAGCGTCCCCCCCGCCCTGCACAGACACACGTGGAGGGCACAAGTCACACACAAGTTTGTGACTATTTAGCCACAATGGGGCAACCGAGCCTCCTCGGTGGGTCTCAGCCAGGATCACCACACAGGCTTTACTGCCCTCGCCTGAGGCATGGTTTCTTCACCCACCTGTCTGACCTGCTTACGGGTCTCTTCATCACCCCACATCTGCTGCTCTCGGTCCATCCTGGGGCTTCGCTCCCCGCCCCCCACTCCGCCCCTTCCCCCTGCCGGTTTTCTCCTTCCCCATCCCGCTGTGAGGTCAGAATCTCGTGCTTACGACACCTCGGTCTGTTGCCATGGAAACAGGGGCGGGTTAAGGCTGGAGCGCCGAGCCCAGGGATCAGGCCCCTCCGCTACCTGAGCTCCAGCTTCAGCAGGCTCCCGCAAGGCTCGGGTAGCCAGCCGCAGGCGCCGCGGCTCTCCGGCTCCCTGCCAGGCCAGGGACAAGGGGGTCCTGGCGCGGCGCTGCAGCCCGCCCGGTCCTGGGAGGGAAGAGAGGCAGACGTAGAGGCCGGGCCAGCGGATGGCGGGGCCCGGGGGCTCACAGCGTGGTCACCTGCCCTCCCTGGGCCCGGGGGACTGCGCCCCGCGCGGCAGCCACGTGGGGGCGCGGCGGGACTTCCCCGGCGCCCGTGCCAACTTTGCCGTGCGAGATCCCCAGCCGGGCTGCCGCGCAGTCGGGGTGAGGTGGTCGCGGAGCCAGCTCTCCCCAAGTTGAGCCTGGCCCGGGCGGCTCACGCTGCCGTCGCGGCCTTCGCGTCCCTCCGCTCTAAGCTTAAGGAAAGTTTGAAGAACCCATCAGACACTTGCCACCCACCTCCTCGGTCGCTGGGTGCCCTGAACCGATCCCTGGGGACCAAAGCAGGGCAGCGGGGAAGGTGCCCGCGTCCAGGCCCCTCCTGGGGAGCTAGGGCGCGCAGGAAGCGCCCGAGCTGAATGCGCCGTGACTGACCGCTGACTGCACAGGAGCGCAAGCTGGATCTGCCTCGCCGAAGCGGCAGAAGCAGGCAGCTTGCCCGCGCAGGGGATGGGAGCCTGCAAGTGCAAAACTTTATAATGGCAAAGCAAGGGTCCCAGGAGGCCAGCTCCCCTTCCACTACGGTCGCGGCGCCATCCTGGCACAGGGGCCGCTCACTCTGGTCTCGGGCTGACCCCACCGAGCCAGAAACCTAGGCCTGGCCCCTTGATCCAAAGAGCAAACCCTGTGTCTCGCAACTGGCCACCGATCAGAACTGAGCTCCAACAGCAACCCCTCCGCAAGTGCGTCCCCGCAAGGCCCGCCAGCCCGCCGGAAACTGCTTCCCGGGCCCGGAGCCCCAGCGCCGGGCGGCTCCCGGGCTCGCGGCTCTACCTCGCGCGTATCCAACTCCAACTTGCCCCTGCGGCTCCAACTCACCTTTGCGAAGCATGTTGGCCGCCGGGCCGCCGCTCCGAGGTCGGCGTAGGCGCGCTCCCTCCCGGGGTCCAGATTCAAATCCCTGGGCGCCGGCTGCGGCTAATCCGGGCGCGCTGAGGCGGGGGCAAGCCGGCGATCCGCTTATGCCCGGCGGCCCGGCCCCGCAGGGGCATGGTGAGCCCGAGCCCCGCGCCCAGGGCACCGGCGCCCACCAGCAACAGCGGCGCTGCCCCACAGCAGCTCCGCGCGCTCGCTCAGCCCCGGGGCGAACGGCTTGCTCCGCGGAGACGGCGGCCTGCTTCTGCCGCCCGGAGCACTTTGCCGGCGGTTTTGAGGGGGGACACTGCCCCACAGCCGGCGGGCCGCGTGGCCCCCTCCTCTCCTCCCCCTCGGGCCGCCGCCGCCGCGGTTGCTGCAAAAGGGCGCTCGCACGCACCGCCGAGCTCCCGGGAAAGCGCCCGGCACGCGTTTGCAGGACCGAGCGATCCGCGGAGCGGGGCGCCTCCCTTCCTCCCCACCGGTTTCCCCCACCTCTCCTCCTCCTCCCTCCGTCGCTTGCTTGTTCTCACGCAAGCTCCCTCCCTCCCGCTCCCCGCCCCCGCTCACGGAGCGCCTCCCATACAAAATTTATGAAAGTGCTCTCAGCTCGCTATGCCGATCGCCGTCCTATTCCCAGGGCAGCAGCGCTCAGCCGCGCGGCGCCGCCTCCCAAGGTGTTTTCGCTGCGCCCGCCCCCGGGGACGATCCTCGGCCCACGTCCGTCCAAGTAGCTGCCCCAGCCCCTGGGCCGGTCCTTGGGACACTTTAACTGCCCTCCTGGAGCCCGCGCCCGCAGCCCAGCCCCCTCCCGCTCGCCCTTCGCGGCTGGAGGTCACGGGGAGAAGCGGCAGTTAGCGAGCGCCCCGCCGACCGGCTGTGTCGGAAGGACCGCCGCAGATAACTAGGATCACAAGTCCGCATCCCTGTCCATCTCCACCCTGGCCGGTGCCCCTTCCTCCTCGGAGGCTCGACGGCTCTTCCCCGCCCAGGACAGCTCCGGCGGACGCAGCCGCCCCGCATCTCGCGCCCCAGGACACTGTTCTCTTTTTGCGGGGGAGGTGAGGCGTGCCTCGGGCGGATCTGGACCTCGCAGAAAGCGTTCGGGGACGCTCGGCTGCAAATCGTAGAGAGCAGAGTGCCAGTGCGGGGCTCAGGTCGGCTCTCTCCGCCTGGGGGGCGCTGATCTTCCTCAGTCCACGGAGACCCCACCCGGGGAGTCACGGAAAAATGAGGAGGCACCGCCTAGAAAGCGGATCCCGCAGGGGGTCGGTTAGACTGAGTGTAGAGACGGTGCTGGCGAGATTCTGAATAGAGGCCGGCACCCCCTTCTGGCCTAGGATAAAGGGAGTCTTGGGGAAGGGAAAAGAGTGGGCCAAGTCACTCATTCAACACGTATTTATTGGTCCTTGAAACTAGCCCAGTGAAAAAGACAAAGCCCCTGCCCTCATGGAGTTTACATTATAGTAAACCTCCCCCCCCCCTGCAAAAACACCAGTTGCCTTCTAGCCAATTCCTGCTCATGGTGACCCCTTGTGTGCAGAGTAGAACTGCACTCCATATGGTTTTCAAGGCAGTGGCCTTCCTGGAGCAGATTGCCAGGCCTTTGTTCCTAGATGCCTCTGCAATGGGTTTGCAACCTTTCCGCTAGTAGTAGAAACCTTAACCTTTTGCATCACCCAGGGACTCCTTAAATTATGTTGTCGTTATAGACTCATAGCCACCCACGTGACAGAGTAGAACTGCCTCTTAGGGTTTTCTAAGCTATAATCTTTACAGCAGCACCCTGCCACTTCTTTATCCCAAGGAGCAGCTGGGGGGTTCGAACCACCAGTCTTTAAGTTAGCAGTCAAGTGCTTAACCACAGCACCACCAGAGCTTCTCCCTTATGTTCTAATAGGGAACAAATAAGTCCAGATGAGATGTATGCTTCAAAACAAAGAAAGCAGGGTGTTTGTTCTGCTGGAGCTGACATGAGGGTGGTCAGAGAAAGCTTCTCTGAGGTGGTAACATCTAAGTGGAGATTTAACTGAAGTAAGAGAATGAGTCATGTGATTTCTTGCAAAAAGCCTTGAAGCTGGCACAAACTTGGCATGATAGGAAGGTCAGAAAGAAGGCCAGTATCATTCATTCACTAACACGTGTATTCAATGCCACTGAGGCTCTGGGTTTGAGCTAACAGTACGGGCTTGGACTTCCAGAAACTTAGGGTGTAGTGGAGTGAGAAAGAGCCACAAGGCATCACAGAATGTGACAGGAGGAGGTACGAAGTGTGGGATGAGGCTCTGCTAGCTCCCTAATGGAGTGAGGGATGATCAGGGAAGCCTTCACAGAAGTCATTTTGGGGACTGAGTCCATCAGGCCAAGTAGGGAAAAGGGCATTCCAAGCAGGAAATAATGCACAAATGCTTGGAGGTGGGAAAGCAACCTGGTGTGTTCTGAAGGTTAAAAAGATTGGTCCCTCTTAGGGTGGGAGCAGAAGGTGAGTCATTCCTCTCAGCCTTGAGCAGCCATAGGGCCGAGCTGACCCCACCCCAACCTGAGCTCTGCAAGCTAAAGCTGAACTCCATGACAGTCAGAGCTGCAGAGGCCCTCCATTAGTAAACTGAGGCCCAGAGAGGTTGAACAACTTGTTCAATGTCACATAGCAGATCAGTGACAAAGTGTGGGCTTTCATCAGTACACTCATCCTCCTTCCACCTAGCCAAGCCGCCTCTTCATGACCTTCTGTCCCACAGACTCCAACATCTTAGGCAAAGTTGGCTGGCGCTGGGCGTGAGTGTGAGAAGCAGAGTTATTTCAGGCCTCAGGAGGGCTGGGTGCTGCCTTGGAGTCCAGCCAGGGGATGTGGGTGACTGTAGGCGGGTATTGTGGTGTAATATGGGGGTGCACTGTGCCCACCTTCTTGTCAGGCAGTAATTACTCAGGATGCTGAGTTACTTAGGCAGAGAGACCCCATGGACAGATGAGGGTGCCCTTGGCCCAAGGTGAAAGGCAGGCCTCAATGCCCCTCGTTGCAGGGTTTTGGGAGAAGTGCTCACATCTGCCCTTGATGCCCAGTTCTCCAAGACATCACCTGGTTTCTAAATGGAGGCCAGGGTGGTTCATTCAACACAAAGGCTCTGGGGCAATGTCACAGGAGGTGGGGACCTTCTGCAAACCGGCCCCACCTCTGCCAAGGGTAAGGTCCTAAAGGGCGGGGCCTAGTCTTTCCCTCTTGAAACTCTCAGCTGCTGCCAGAGCTAAAGCTGACTACAGTTTGGGCCTTGGGGTCCTGAAGGGGGAGGGGCTCAGCTCAGGTAATTTCAGAAATTAAGATACTGCACCCTGAGGGTCCAGAGAACCTGGGAGAGCTGGGAAAGTGCACGCTAGACTCTCATCAAGATGAGAGAAGATTTTCCTAGGATCGGTGCTAACCACATTCCTGTCCAAAGCTGACTATTCTAACAGTGCTAGCGGCCTGAGTGGACCCCTTCTGGTCCACCCCTTCTCTACTCACTCCCAGCCTGCCCAGCCATGGCTCCTCTCTGGGCGACCTCTCTGGCTGCTTGTTTTCACTTCTCCCTGCACTTTAATTAGGGGTTTCCAAGCAAGGAGGGCCTCCGGGGGAGCCCGAGGCCACAGAGCTGCCTTAAAGAGCCAGCTGTGCTCACAGCATTACCGCAGAGAGGAGAGGCCGGTGCCAGGGGGCAGGGTGGGCAAACGGCCTTGGAGGACCATTGCTCTATTGCTGTATGGGGCCGACCTAGCTGCGGGCCAGCCTTACAGGTACTTCACTCTTCCAAAGGTCAAGACTGTCTCACTGGCTGCTCTACCTTCTCTTTGGAGTCCCAGGAGCCCAGGGTGCTGATCAGGAGAAAGGCTTATCTAGATCTGAGGGGCAGCGTTGGCACAGCAAACATTGGTCAGGAATCAGGTTTAGACAATCTGTGTCCTCAGACTGCCCCATCCTCCCAGAAAAGCACCCTCAAGCTCGGCACCTTCTCCTGCGCAGCCGTTCCTCGCACGTGAACCTTCCACACAGGTTCTAGAGGTGACGAGGGCACTACGGCGCTCCGGGAATCCGCGCGAAATCTCTCAGCTTGGAGCTGGTCTGGTGGGCTCTGGTGGGCGCAGAGTTCTGTCCCGTCCGGGCAGTGGGGTCCTCTGAAGGAGGGAATGTGGCCCCACCCACACGCCGTCCGTCTGTCTGACCACTGCTTACCAGGAGAGGAGAAAGGGAGGGAGTTGAAGGAAGACCTAGCGGGTGTCCCCATTCACGGAACTCGGGCCCGCACGATTTCGCAAGAAGGGAGTGCTAGTCCCAGAATGCCAGGTTCGGACCAGCTGGGGAAGGGAGGGGAGACTGGGTGGGCGGGAGAACATAACCGCGTGGTCAGGGACCACTAGGGGCCCCCGAGAGTTTTGACCTTCCGGGCTGAGATAGAACCCACTATAGCCCCGCCCGTATCTTCTCCTTCTTGGACCCCACCCAGAGAGTCTCCGCCCCTCGCTGGTCAATCTTCGATCGATTGCAATGCCTACGCTCTCCGCATTCCTCTAGCGCTGTCTTTTTGGTCCCCACGTGGGTAAGTTGGTGATGGCGGCGCTGGCTGTGTCGGAGGCGGCGGAGCCCAGCGGCCGAAGCGGCCCTGGCAGAGGTGGGTGCTGCAGCGCTGCGGCCTCCAAATCTCCCATCTCGGGGTGGGGCCCTCAAATCATTGGCAGGATCAGCCTCCATTAACGGCAGCATCGCCTTCTCCGCCAGACCCGGAAGTCCCCGCTGTCACTCGCTCTAGGCTGCTGTCACCGGAGCCCAGGGGGCCTGGTCTCATTTTGCAGCCCTAGGACTTGACCGGGAGCAACACCTCCTGGGAACTTGTAGTTCTCAAGCTGGAAACGCTGCCCATGCCTTCGCCAGCAGACAGACACATGAAGAGTCACGGATAAGACGGACTCGATGGGACCAGGCCTGTTGGTGCGGTCACTTCACAGTGGGCCCTTAGGAATACTTTCAGGGAAGACGCACATAGTTTCCACTCACCAGGCGTTGATTGAGCGCCGATTGAATGCCAGGCCTGCGCTAAGTGCAGGGACTAGAATACTGCCGCTGTCCTCAGGGATGTCACAGTATACCGGGGAATACAGATGTAAACAGATGATCACAGCCACGTGATAAAAGAGGAGGCGCCAATCCCAGTCCCACTGAGCCCGTGGGATTTGTTGAGCTGCTAAGGCTAGCTGATTCTGCACCCCACGGTCCTCAAAAGGCTTTGACCTGTCAGAAGGAGGCTCTGTGAAGGGCTCAGGGAGGCTGGGCTGGTTGCCCCAAGGCCTCTGAAACAACTGGACAAAAACCATAGCAGTGGTAACATTCAGACCTGGTCTCAGGCTCCCAGCCTTCTGTGCTAGCCTTCCAGCCTTACCCCCCGCCCCCTGCTTCCCCCATTCACAGTGGATAAAGGCTTAGGTCTTCCAGGGTCTCCTATCATAGTGAGGGGCCTTAGCACAGATTCTGGCACATAGTACAGGCTCAATAAATATTCAGTGAATAAATTAATTTCTTGCCTTCTCACATTCACGAACTGTCTGACTCATAAGAGATAACTGGGGGTTGAGCTGAGCTGAGCTGTGGGGAGTAGAATGAGTCCAGGTTAAGGGTTGCAGCCTTGCTAAAGAGCTACAACGTTTTCTCCTTTAATAAGAGGGTTGTAATTATTTGTATACCTGTCTTTGGCCCCACTAGTCCGTAGCCCCTAGAGGGTAAGTTCACTTTTCTGTCCTTACCTATTTGCCCACAGTCCTGACTAGAGTATATTTTTTCCATCCTTGGGCGGTGGAGGGAGGCAACGGGACCAGGAAACTAGTTAACTCAGTTAAATATATGTTGTTTATTTCCATTTTAAATGAGGAGAGGGAAGAGTGCAAGAATTAACCAGTGTGGGCATGGTCAGTGGGACTCGGAGTAAGGCGGGCAGTTTTTAAAATAAGTACTCATAACACTTTGCATATAGATCTCATGCCTGGGACCGCTGAACTTCAAGATGTTCTCCAGGGATAGGATGGGGGGGGGGGCATTTTCCCAGACTAGCTGAACTGGCTAGGCTCTTGAATTTTCCACTGGATTGTTCTTCATCAAGTAGCAATTGTGTGGACCCAGACTCTGTCCTTCAGTCCAGTCCCCTGGTGTCTCCTCTACTCTTCTGAGCAAAGGAGTGAGCCTATAAAGATTTCCTCCTGGCTTAATGAGTTGTCTCTTGCTTCAAGATGACTCAGTAGGGAAGAAGGCTGGGCCAACCCCCTTGACATCTGAGATCTGGGCCTTAAACTTTGAGGGAGTTAACGGCTTAGTTGGGTCTGGCTGTGGTCTAGGCCAGGTGCTGACTCAGGCCTTAACATTCATCCTAGGTCGAGTTCCTCGGGGCCGCTTGGCCAATCAGATCCCGCCTGAGATTCTGAACAACCCCCAGCTGCAAGCAGCCATCCAGGTACTGCCTTCTAACTACAACTTTGAGATCCCCAAGACCATCTGGAGGATCCAGCAGGCCCAGGCCAAGAAGGGTGAGCCCCCAGGCTTTGAGCTGGGCTGAGTATGGGGAGATTGCCTTGTCTAGCCAGGGACCAGTGTCCCCATCCAGGCCTCCTCCCAGCCCTCTGCCTCTCCTGTCTCTGCTCTGTCTTGCAGTGGCCTTGCAAATGCCCGAAGGCCTCCTCCTTTTCGCCTGCACCGTTGTGGATATCTTGGAAAGGTGAGGCAGTTGCTGGCGCTGGAGAGGAAACTGGGCCAAGACCCTCCCTGTGCCATCACAGCTCTGTCTATTGGCATCTTTTTTTCCTTCTAGACCTCTGTGTATTCCCCCTCACCACCTCTCAACCACTCACACACACACACACAAAGGGAAAAACCCAAACCAAGCTTCCAATCCTGCTGAGATCCCTGTTTGTACTTAAAAATCGCTCCTCCCCCAAAAAAATTGGGAGAAAGAACGAGGTCAATTCCAGTATCTTCAAAGCTGGGCCCAGAGCAGGTGATGGGGCCTGGGGAGGCACCTAAGAATCCTTAGAGCTGACCCTGGGATGGGCTGATCGGTCAGCACGGAGTCTGGCTGGGGGCCTCTTTTTCTTTGGCACATTCAGAGCAAGGACGGGTTTGGTAGGAGAATAAGGGTGCCTAGGAGAAGGTATTCAGTTCCTCTTCTCCCCTCGGTCTAAGTTTCTTCCATCCAATGAGCCATCCTTGGGAGGGAGGAGTCAGTTCTCAGCCATCTGGAGCCAGCATGGGAACAGGGAGGGGGAATGAAGAGAAGGGAGGTTATCTCCTGGTGGGAACCTCCCACTTCCCTGCTGCCGCCCTCCCCCCATCCTGCTCCCATCCCGCTGCTGCCACAGACTCACTTCCCTGCTCCCATCCTCTTGCCCCTTGGGGATGCTCTCTGGGGCTCCGGCCAATCTGCATACATTTTAATCTATAAAAAATTAAGTGCTCCGGCTGACTCAGACGCCTGGGCTGCATTCTAAGGAACTGAATAATCTGCTTCTGGGCACAGCCTGATTTGGGGGAGGGGGGTTGGCTGGCAGTAGCTCCGCTTCCCCCACCACACCCCCAGGAGAGGAATGGGGGGGGACCCCAGTCACTGAGCCAGGCCCAGGGGTGAATCTGTCCCAGGGAAGAGCTGGTCCTCCTGTTCCACTCCTGTGGTGAGTCAGGGGGTGCGGGGTCTTCCCTGCCCACCCCCCTCGCCCTGTGATTCAGGCCTGGCAGCAGATCCCATGGCAATGTGCTGGCTGGAGCCCACTCTTCCTGATACATGAGTCAGGTGGGCGGTGCCATGTGCTGTGAGGCAGCTGGGCTTGGGCCCCCCCAACCTGGGCACTGAGGGCCCTGCTTAATGGTGGGGAGGTGGCAGGGTGCCTGGGCAAAAGGGGAGGCTGTGTGTACCCATACATCCATTCCCTTGCAAGACCACAGTGCTAAAGTGTGGGAGTGGGTGCCTTTGCATGTGTGCCCCTGCGTGGGCTCATTGCTCTGGGTGGGATGGGTTCAGGTGGCTGCAGGCCCTGGTGGTCTGTGTTTGACCCTGTGTATGCCAGTCTGAAGGTTGGCTCCCTCTTCCAGTCTGAGCCTGGCCAGAGGAATCAGGGTGTTTTAGAAACCATGCTTGTGCAGCTACAGTTCCAGGAGCTGCTGCCAGGGCTGAGGGAGGTGGCAGCTGGGCACCTCCTACTCTTTGCTGGCAGAAGTGGCAGCTGCCAACCTAAGGAATTGAGAGAGGTAGGGAGAGAGGAGCTGGGCCCTGAGACCCCTCCACAGGGTTAGATCTCTCTCCCACCTTGTATCACTATCCCACTCCTCCTCCTGCCCCAGGTTCACAGAGGCCGAAGTGATGGTGATGGGTGACGTGACCTATGGGGCTTGCTGTGTGGATGACTTTACTGCGAGAGCCCTGGGAGCGGACTTCCTGGTGCACTATGGCCACAGCTGCCTGGGTATGGCAGGCCAGGTACCTGGACCTGGCAGGGCTGGAAGGAGGGCAGGGCTGCACACTAATCCCCATTGCCACGCCTGCCTGCCCTGCTTGCAGGCATGAGGTCCCTCCTGATTTCTGGGATGGCCTCGGCCTTCCTGCTCTGCAGGTGGATCTTTCCTTTGGATTTGGTTGCCTTGGAAACCATGCTGCTGTCCCAGATGCGGGTGTTTGAAAGGCTGTTGATGGTAGAGCAGGCTGGGCCCCTGGCCGAGTGACAGAGAAGCCTAACCAGGAGGAGCTCTTAGGGGACCTGTGACCCCCTCCTCCCCACCCTCCTTCCACCCCGAGGTTGTGAAGGATTGTCACAGTGGTTGACATCACTGGTCCTGGCTTCTCAGAGAGCTCGGCCCAGGCCAGGCCCTCTGCTCCTCCTGCCTTCTGAAACAGTCTTCTCAATTCTTCTGTCTTCCCAGTTCCCATGGACACCTCAGCCCAAGACTTCCGGGTGCTGTATGTGTTTGTGGACATCCGGATAGATACCACCCACCTGCTGGACTCTATCCGCCTCACCTTTCCCCCAGCCAGTGCCCTTGCCCTGGTCAGCACCATTCAGTTTGTGTCAACCTTGCAGGTGAGTGGATGTGAGGATGTCCAGCATCCCATCAGCAGACAGTGGCCAGTCTCTGGCCGTTCCTGGATCCCCACGCCAGATGCTCCAGGCTGCTCCTCGGCCTGGCTCTCCTTCTCCAGCCACTTGCGTCCCTTCCCTCGTTATCCCTACAGGCAGCTGCCCAGGAGCTGAAAGCTGAGTACCGTGTGAGTGTCCCACAGTGCAAGCCCCTGTCCCCTGGGGAGATTCTGGGCTGCACATCCCCCCGACTACCCGAAGAGGTGGAGGCTATTGTGTAAGTTAGAAACGGGGTGCTCGTGGAGACATAAGAAATGAACCCTGGGAGGGAGCCTGAAGTTCACTGTACAGGAAAGGAAACTGAGTCTCAAGCTCTTTAACCATTTGCCCAAGGCCACACTGCAAGTTAGCGACAAAATAGGGACAAGAAGTTAGGTTTCCTCCCTCCCTGTACTTTGCTCTGTCCAGAAGGTTGCGCTCAGGGTGGCGGAAGGAATCAGAGGGCTTGATGGGGGGATGAGGGTAGGCTAGATATGGTGGGAATATAATTGGAGAAGATGGATGGGCACACCCAGGCTGCAGCCCCATTAATTTAGCATTCGGACAGCTAACAAGCAGGAGCAGCGTGTCTCCTGCCACCTAATTATTTTAGGTAATGGAAGTGCTTAATGTTGTGTGAATGCAGCCAGCCTCAGAGACGACAGCTCCCCCAGCTGGGACTGGGGAGGGGAGACCTGTTCCCAGCTAATGGCGGGGAAGGAGCGGGGCACTCCCTGACTCAGCCCCACCTCCAGAGCTGCGGAGGCTGGTCCCACAGGCCTGGCTGCACCCACACAGGACACCCCTACCCCTAGACAGGCCCACATCAGGGCCTTCCCCAGCCCAGCCCTGGCAGCCTGCTCCCTGAGGGGCATTCCCCGTGCCTGTGCTTGCATGACTCTGAGCTCTTAGATGTCTATCCTTGGGGGCTTCAAAATGTATACTGGAGGGAGGGCCACCCTGAGGGTTGGCCATTCATCAAAATGAGGTGAGATCAAGAAGCAAGGAAAGAGCTGCCCCAGGCAGGTTATCCTCCATACCCTGGACTCTTCATGGCACGGGGAGGTAGTTAGGGACAATATCTCCTAGAGCATGCTTGGTATGACATGGTGATTAAGCCTGGAGTCAGACCCAAACTCAAGTCCTGGAACACTGCTTAATAGCTGTGTAACTTTGGGCAAATTCTTGACATCCCTGAAACTCAGTTGTACCTTTGTAAACTGAGAGTAAGTATGGGTATCTTGGAGAATTTTTTAGTAGGACTGAGTGACATCACGCACGTCAGATACTTGTCCAGGCCTGGTACCCAGAAGGCACAAGTCCAGTAAATGGTAGCTGTTATAACTCAGTAACAACTGGACCTGAGAACTAGTTTGGGCAGAGAGTAGCCAGTGTGTACCCTGAAACCTCATTTACAGCACAACCTGAGCACTACTTCTCACATCTGTATTGAGCTAGATGGAGGAGATTCTGCCCCTCACCTCCAAATTAGGATCTCTACAGCCCCAGGGGGCCTTACTCTCCTGAAAGGTTGGGGCGGTCACTTCTTAGATTCCGCATTACATACATAACTAGAAGGACCTTATGGTCATCCAGTTCAAACTCCTTATTTCACATGTGAGAAAACTTAAAGCCCCAAGAGGTGAAATGATGACTTATCCCAATTCACACTGTAGTCAGCAGCACAGCCAGCCGAGAACACAGTCCTCTGGACCTCCAGGGTGGTGAGCGCCTCTTCTGCTGCCCCACACCACATTTATGGCCTCCTTTCTTCCACCTGCAGGTATCTTGGAGATGGCCGCTTCCATCTGGAGTCTGTCATGATTGCCAACCCCAATGTCCCTGCTTACCGGTATGGGCTGGGCTGGGCTCAGCAGCTGGGAGAGAGTGGGATCCCCTGCCACTGGTGCCCTCAATTCACAGAAACTTCCTTATGCCCCGGCCCCTCAACAGCCCCTGGCCCTGAGGGTCTGAGGCCCTTAGGCCCTGGATCTGGGCATCAGAGCAGCAGCAGCAGCCCACCAAGCCTCCGGGATTCACACTGAGATTCTAAAGCCCTCCCCTACTCTTGCCTGCCCCATCTGTGGGACTGAGCTTCCCAGTGACAATCCCGGCTCTTGTCTCTGTTCTGAAGTTACCTGCAGCTGCAGAGTCAGAGGATAAATGGTGCCTGAAGGCTCAGGAGCCCAAGGGGCTGAGAGCCATGTATATAGTGGGAGTCCCATGAGTGGCTATCACAGTGACCCTGCCAGGTTCTTCTTTTCCAGGTACGACCCATACAGCAAAGTCCTGTCCAGAGAGCACTATGACCACCAGCATATGCAGGCCACCCGCCAGGAAGCCATAGCTACTGCCCGCTCGGCTAAATCCTGGGGCCTCATCCTGGGCACCTTGGGCCGCCAGGGTAGCCCCAAGATCCTGGAGGTCAGAGGGCTCTGGATGGCCTCTGAAGATGGGGACTGACTGAAAACCCAGCTGGGAAAATCAGCCAAGGGGGTTCCGCTTGATCATGGTGACCCTCGCTCTGTCCCCTCTCCCAACAGCACCTGGAATCTCGGCTTCAGGCTTTGGGACTTCCCTTCCTGAGACTGCTGCTCTCAGAGATCTTCCCCAGCAAGCTTAGCCTACTTCCTCAGGTGGATGTGTAAGTTTCCTTGCCTTACCTACCTAGCTGTGAGCCTGGCTAAAGAAGCTGAGAAGCCAGGTCCTGCCCAGACACATGGAAGGCTGGAGTCGATGCGAATTGCTTCCATGGTCATGAAATTTGAGTGTTTACTGAGTGCTTGGTCAGCAGGGGTTTCCTTTAACTATGGGTCACTCCTGTCTTGTCTGGCTCTAGAGCCAGAGGTTGTGGCAGCGTCACAGTTGTTCTGTGTGAGGTTAAGTTGAGGGGTTATTGGCACCTGTACTGTACCAGGCACTAAATTTGGTTCTGGAGATACTAGCATGAAGCAGCTGCCCAGGCCCTGCCCTCAGAAAGCTCACAGTCAGCGGAGGAAACTAAATAAGCGGCAGCAATATGGTCAGATTGTTATTCCAAACAGCAGTAGGTGACAGTCTTTATTTCAGTAAACATTCATAGGGTACACTGGGGACACAGTCATGTTCTTCAGTATGTCTCCCTGCCCAGAAGAAGGTGAGGCTCCCACCTGGAGTCTGATCTGCTTTCCTTTCCAGGTGGGTGCAGGTGGCATGTCCACGGCTCTCTATTGACTGGGGCACAGCCTTCCCCAAGCCGCTGCTGACACCCTATGAGGTAATGCTAAGTTTTGAAAATCCCTGGGAGAGAGTGGGCCTTGCACCTGGTTCTGTGAAGGGATGGGTCGGGAGTGGGGTACGTGGGCAGCATTTGGTTAAATTCGTAGCAACTGAAGTCTGACTGCCTTGTACCCCAGCTAGGCCACTTCCTGGCTGGTGTGGCCTTCGGCAAGTCCTTTTACCTCTCTGGGTCTCACACTTCTTTCTGTAATATGGGGGTAACAGGACTTTCGTAAAGCCGTTGTGAGGACTGGATTAAATAATCAACGTGCAGAAAATGTTAGTGAACTTTATCGTCCGGTTCTCCTCCCCTAGGCAGCTGTGGCCCTGAGGGACATTTCCTGGCAGCAGCCCTACCCCATGGACTTCTACGCCGGCAGCTCCTTGGGGCCGTGGACAGTGAACCATGGGCAGGAGCGGCCCCGCAAGACTCTGGGCCCGCCTGCCCTGGGGAAGGTGGGCGGGGACTCCAAGGAGGGCTGAGAGACTGCCCTTGGGCGACGTCTTTGCACTGGTCGCCTCCGTGGTCACACGAGCCGAAGCCGCCGCCCTGCGGCCGTGACGAGAAATGCAGTGGAGCGAGACCGTAGCCAAAGTCTGTGTCCTCAGGTGCAGGAAAGGTCCACGTGCCCCTCTCCAGCCGCGAGTTGTGAAGATTGCAGTTGCAGAGACGAGAAGGTGGCGCCGCTCGCTCCTTGAGACGCTCCACGGGCCCAGGTATTCCTCACTCATGTTCTAGCTGCGCCCCGCCCCTCCTCGTTGTCATGGAAACGCCCTCAGCTACTAGCTCGTTGGCCCGCCGTCAGGGTGGTGCCGTCATTTGGTTCCTCCCCTCCCATTCTTTTTCCGCTCGGGGAAAAGCCGCTTCCGGTGCCTCACTGGCGCGCTGCCCAGCATTATGATGGTGCGGCAACCTTTGCGCGTGTTGTGCTTGGCGGGCTTCCGGCAGAGCGAGCGGGGCTTCCGCGAGAAGACCGGAGCGCTGAGGAAAGCGCTGCGGGGTTGCGCCGAGCTCGTGTGCCTCAGCGGCCCGCACCCGGTCCCGGAGGCAGCGGGCCCCGAAGGTGCCGGGCCAGACTCCGGTGAGATGAGACTTGCCCCGGAAATGCACTCGGTCTTCTCCATCTTGCCTCGTCCCCTTCACACCCTTCGGCGTATCCCTCACCCTGTGTCCACCTCTTATTCCGCCCACTTTATTCTGTCCATTCCCTTCATTTCTCCTATCCCGGTCCCCCTCTGTGTACCTCACCTGCTCTCCCAGACTTCCAACTTCATGTCATCCCCCTCTGTCCTCCAATTTATGCCAGTCTGTTCTCCCTTCTCAATACTCCCAGCTGTGTCCTTCCTCCTCAGCTGCCTCTCTTTCTCGCTGTCATTCCCAAGCCCTCCCTCCCAAGTCCTCCCCCACCTCCCCGTATTCCCTTAGCCTAACCCCATCCTCTCCCCCATATCGCTGTAGGGCCCTGCCCTCCGGAGGAGCAGCCCCGAGGCTGGTGGTTCTCGGAGGAGGGAGCCGTTTTCTCCGCGCTGGAAGAGCCCACGGTGTGCTGGGGCCTGGAGGAAGCCCTGGAAACAGTGGCACAGGCACTGAACAAGCTTGGGCCTTTTGACGGGCTCCTTGGTTTCAGTCAGGGGGCAGCGTTAGCAGCCCTTGTGTGTGCCCTGGGCCAGGATGGTGATCCCCGCTTCCCCTTGCTACGGTTCACCATCCTGGTGTCTGGTTTCTGTCCCCGGGGCCTTGGACTCAAGGAACCCATTCTGAAGGCCCCCTTGTCACTCCCTTCACTCCATGTTTTTGGGGATGCTGACCGCGTCATCCCCTCTCAGGAGAGCGTGCAACTGGCCAGCCAGTTCCCTGGAGCCATCACCCTCAACCATTCTGGTGGCCACTTCATTCCAGCTGCAGCATCCCAGCGCCAGGCCTACCGCAAGTTCTTGGACCAGTTTGCAGAGTGAAAGATCCAACAAATGCCTCTGTCCCTTTATTCCCCCTCCCAACCCCAATGGGGCATGACACCTTGGTGCAGCCTCTGTCTGACCTATAATCCCTGCCCTCCCCTTTTCCTCCTCACCTTGAACCCCTACTGCTGTTAGTTGCCCCTCGCTATGACCAATTAAGAGACAAATGTCAATTCCCAGAGCCTTGCTCTGCATTCAAGAAAAGAGGGGCAGAGGCCTTGATGGACACTTCTGATACTCAAACATGGAAAAGGCCGGCAGAACCCTGGATCAGAGGAGGGTGACATGGGAAAAGCAGGGCCTGGCACCACTGTGACTGCCACAAAATAAAGTGGTGATTTGGATTTTGAGCATCTCTTTCCTGGTCCACAAAGAAAAACCCATTTTATCATGGAAGTCTTGGATCTCTAGCCATTGACACAGCCTATGGGGCAGCACCAAGCAAGAAGGTGTTCCAGTTGAGTCCCCAGGACAAGCTCATGCATGTGTCCGCATATATACTCACACATTTTTGGTGGAAGTCTTAAGGCACAAACTGAAGGAAAAGAGGCCTCAGCTAAATTAGGAAAGAATTTATGTTGGAGAAGTTTTAGGAAGACAGCACCTGACAAGGCTCTGTGTGGGCCGCATGACTTTAGGTTTGCTTTAGCCTGATCCCTGAGAGTTGTGTGTGCTGGCCTTCCCTCAAAGCCCAGCTTCTTGTCTACTCTGCATTCTCCTCCATAACTGCTCTAGCCCCTCTGAACTAGGACTTGACCCATCTGGAGGGTTTCTCGGGTCAATGCTACTTTGTAGTGACCACAGCCAGAGCCTAAGCAGCCCAGCTGGTTTGCCTTTGGGGGTGTAGTTAGTGCTTCCAGGCACTATAATTGCCCACCCCAGCCACTTTCCCCTCACTTCAAGTGCTTGCCCCCTCAACACACACGCTGCTGACATCCACCCTATTTTAGTTAGTTAGTGCTGCTGTAACAAATACAGGTGGATGGCTTTAACAAACGGAAATGTATCTTCTCACAGTTTGGGACGCTAGAAGTCTGAATTCAGGGCACTGGCTCTAGGGAAAGGCTTTCTCTGTCAGCTCTGGGGAAGGTCCTCTCCAACTTCTGCTTCCTGGTTTCTTGGAGATCTTCGTATGTCTTGGTATCTACCCCATCTCTGCTAACTGACTTGTGTGTTTAATCTTTTATATCTCAAAAGAGATTGACTGAAGACACACCCTACACTAATCCTGTCTCATTAACATAACAAAGAACCCATTCCCATATGGGATCATAACAGCAGGCACAGAGGTTAGGAATTACAACATATGTTTTGGGGGGACACAATTCATAACATCCCCTGTCTGCAGGGCCGTTCTTTTCTGGAAGATCGCAACAGGCCCTCTCCAGGAACTCAGCAGGAATTAGGGTTTAGGGGATGCAGCACAAATACTCCAGACCATCCTCAGACAACCACACTGATTGATATCCCTTAAGTTATCCAAGGTTCTGAGTTCCTGACTACACATAGCAGCTGTCCTAGATAATAAGCTGAAGTTACTCTCCTGGATGCCAGGGACTTTACCTAGGCAAGAGGCCCTGTTAACCAGGTTTAGGACCTTTACAGCAGGAAGTGGGAGAGTTCTCCCTTGCTTGTCACACCCTGCCTTGCTCTTGGTGTTTTAGAGGGATCCCTTGGCAAAAGTAGGGGACTCTGAAATGGACTGAACTATTCCTACAAACCTGTTGGATTTGGCCCATGAGATTTAAAAAAAAAAAAAATGGATTTATTGACAGCATTTAAATTTTTAGAAAATTCAGATTTTGGTTTCTCTGGAAATAATGGATTTACAGCTCAGGGCCCACATACCCTTATGGCTATGATAGGCTGTCCCCTTTAGCAAGGTCCCAAGAGGTGAGATGACTTGCACTCCCCAGCTGCTGCTACTTGGGATTATTGTGAGAATTTAAAGGAGAGGGAAATTGTATTGAGGAATGAATTTTAAGCCAGGCCTTAAAATCAGAAGGGGAGAGGAAAGCAGTATTGGAACTGAAGTGCTCATGCTTGAGTTGAGAAAGGAGATGAAGGAGAATTCCCCCTAACAATCACAAGATGTCCAGGCTGGAAGAAAAAGATCATTGGTATTATTCCCAACAAGTGGGAAATGGCACCTCCCATCATGTCCTCCAAGACCCACAGAGAATCAGAGGGTTGTGCCTGCCCCCCACCCTGCCATACACACACACATTCTAGGGACCGCTTGCATCAGGATCATCATCTGTTAAAACTCGAATTCCTGGGGCCAATTCCAGACCTACTGAGCCAGAACCACTAAGACCCAGGAATGTGCATTTTGACAAAATGACCCTAGTCATTCCCAAGCAAGGTAATACTTGAAAAGCACTGTCTTAGAATAATAGTCTCTGGTAAGTATGTGTTATTTAAAAAAGAAAAAGAAAAAAGCCCCGCATGTGGTTCTCGTGCACCCCCCTGGCAGGAGAGGAAGCCCCAATCAAGAATCATTGATCTAAAATTTTCAGTTTATAGATAAGGAGAATGAGGTCTGGAGGATAGACATAGTAATAACATGTATAACATATAATAACAGTATGCTAGACATTGTGATAAATAGAAGCTTTGGTGTTGCCTAATTTAACCTCACAACTTCTTGAGGTAGGTACTATTATTAACGTCCTCTAACAACTGAGGAAACGGGCACAAAGAGGCTAAATAACTTGCTCAAGGTTGAATTCAGACCCAAGAGCTCACGTTGCTTTCTCCCCTGCCCTGTAGAAGATGAGTAGAGAGAACACCACTCATCACTTTTTGAGCCTATGTCCTGTCTGGTCCTCACCTTCCTAATCCATAAAATGGGTTAGGGGAGTATACTGAATTATTTCCAAGATGCTAAACAACTCTAACATTGTACAGTCCTCTGGTTCTTCCCCCTCTGGCTGCCACCTCCAGATGGGTTCCAACTGCAAAAGATTTGGCCTCTTCTTTTCAGAACATCCCTACCATTTCTCATTTCCACCTCTCACTCCATCTTGGATTCCTGAAGCTCTTGGGACAGTGGGTCCCCTGGCAAAAACCAAATCAGTGACCCCCTGTGTGTCAGAGTACAACGGTGCTCCATAGGATTTTCAATGCTTGACTTTTCAGAAGTAGATCACCAGGCCTTTCTTCCAAGGCACTCCTGGGTGGACTCAAACTACCAACCTTTTGGTTAGCAGCCAAGCACCATCCATTGACTCCTCCTTAGCAAAGGACCCCTCAATATTCATGGTTCCAGAGTGTCTGCTCAGGGAGGTGTGCTCCCCCTCCCCTATTTGTTCTGCATAAGTGCCTAGAGCTGGGGTCTCCACCCAACACCACTACCCCTTAACACACATAGCAGGCTGATAGACTACTTAATATCAGAACAGCGTTTCTCAGTTTTCAAAGCTTTTACTTACATGATCCTATTTGATCTTCACAACACCCCCTTCAGGAAGGCAGAGGAGGGATTATTATCCTGTTTTAGAGAAGGCTCCAAAACAGAATATGGCCCCATAAATGACAGTTGATGATGGAGCCATGTTGGACCTTCTGCTTCCCAATGTACTACTCCCACCTGCACACAATACATCCACAGATGTCCACTAGAGGCCAGAATCAAGTGCATCTTACTCTGGTTAAGACCTCAGGGTCCCTGGGAGGGGTGATGTGGGCGTTGGTCAACCATGAAATCAGCACCAGCTGTCTTTGGAGTAGTTTAGAAAAGGAGAGGGCATAGAGAGGTAAAGAAAAGTTGAACTAATGGGGGAGCGGGGCCGGGTTGCACGAACCATTCTCACCACTATCCACAGGGAGATTGAAAACCCAATGTCCAACTGTTATCCCCTGCAGGGGGTGATGCTGGCAGTGGCAGGTGACATACACAATGTTTTTAAAGGGGGGTCACTGTCCACACTTCACTGGCAGGACAGGACTTCAGCCTCTCTGATATTCACTCCCCTTATTTAGGGCTAATTTGAAAAACTGTCTCAAATTGGAACACCGCGCCTAGAGACAGACTAAAGATGCTGATATGTTCTCACAAAGCTTTTGGAACTGGATTAACTTTAAAAGCTCATTGGTTTCCTGAGGGTTGGGGACAGGCCTGGGGACCCTACTTATCATTCTCTGTGGTTCAGAAGGAGAAGTTGAGGAGGGTAGTTACAGAAGGCTATGACTCCATCAGGAAATGAACTCAAGGGTTTGCTCTTAGCTCTCAGTCTACTCAGCTAGGGGTTTCTGGAAGGACGGTGTTGTGGCGTATTTAGGAAAACTTGCCTTCCGTTTACCGCCTTCAGCCCACAGGACGCAAACAGAACGTTCTCTGATGCCTTTTGGCCCCAGCAGCCTCCCACAGGGGAGATGAAAAGAGTCCAAGCCCCAGAACTACCCCTTCTCTCGCCGTCCTCTGGCTGTGATACCTCGGCTGGGAGGACAAGAGAGTCACTGAGGACGGCGGTCAGACCACGCTTCTCTGCCTTGGTGGATGCACAGCAGTCAGACCCTGGAGGGCTCACCTCCCTGCCCAGCACCTCCCACCACTTCCGCGGATACGTTTGATCTTGACTCCCGCCCCCGCCTTCTCTTGCTCCTGGTCTTTCCACCCTCCGCTGGCAGGGCGCGGCGCGTGCTGCGGCGCGTGCTGCGGGGCGACCATGGCTGTAGACTGTTACCTCCGGTTCCCACAGTAACAATCGAAAGCCACGGTTGCCCTGGAGACGCGGGGGCGGGGCGCGCGCCGCTGACGGCAACGCGGCGGCTCTGGACAGGCTGACGTCAGGGCCGCGGGGGTGGGTGGTGG